CCGGCCCCTTCCAGAGAGGTGCCACTGACAGAAGTGTCTTACGGCCATTACCAAAGGGGGGATATTAACATGTTCGTATGTACAGTGGAATTGTTAGTGGGCTGATTTATCAATGTCATGCTCATACAGTGTCGGATCAACATAGGGGGAAGTGTTGTTTTTTTGTCCTCATCCTTGCTATCTTCATGTATTCCTCTACTTCTTTTGTATGTTTGTCACTCTCTTGTGAACTGCTATTCCAAGGTCTCTTGATAGTCGAAACAGACTTTGTATTGTTGATGCTAGATAGATGAGCAGAATAAGCCTGATTCCCCGTTTAAACTTCTCCGTTGACATCCACCCCTTCGCTCATATGACCTTATGCAATTGCGAGGACTGTAAAACCGTACTAAAACTAAAGAGAGCAAAGAGTGGTAGACATGACAGTGCCCTGTCTAGGATACATGTATTAGAACCTGAGTCTATGGAATAGCCACATTACTCCTTTCAACACTCCTCAGATATCCATCTGGTTTAGGGTGTTCTAACTGAAGTCTTGAGTTTGAGTTTGAGTAAGAGTTTTATGGCACGTCCACTGCAAATACGTGTTGATCGAAATAATATTATTATGTTGGGCTGAAGACTAGAGATGATACTGGAAAGTCACCTAAAGACGAAAAAAGGTGGAAAGATCAGGGCCATAAATGCTTGATTGGAATCAAAAGGCAATTCGCAAACTAACACTCGCCAACCACCCACAATAAACTTCAAGCCTAAAATAATAATATGAGCTTATACTTTCAACCCACTCTCCTCATATAGACCTCTTAATAACCTAATAGTTTTGACAGGGGTGTTAAACCCATACTATCTCTCCCCCCCCAGGACAGTGCGACTGACAGAAGTGTCTTTAGCAAAGGGGGATACTAACATCATGTTCTTATGCACAGTAAAATTGGAAATGGGCTGATTTATCAATGTCAAGCTCATACTGTGCCGGAACAACATAGGGGGAACTGCTGCTTTTTCTTTCCTCGTCCTTACTATCGTCATTTTTCTTAACTATACTTCTTTTGTAGGTTTGTCATTCTCTTGTGAACTGCTATTTACGGGGTGCCTTGATAGTCGAAGCAGACTTTGTGCTGCTGAGGCTAGAGACGAGCAGAGTTAGCCTGATTCCCCGTTTTAGACTTCTCCTTTGACATTCACCCCAAAGCGCTCATATAACCTTATACAGTTGCGAGCGCCGTAAAACCTTTATCATCATTATCATTGCCTTTCTCACCCTGGGTCAGGATATAGGCCACGAACAAACACTCTCCACCTTTCCCTATCCTGGGCTAGTCGCTTGATGTCACTCCACGTCTTCCCACTTTTCTGTACACCCATTTCCGTGACATTTCTCCAGGTTCCACGAGGTCTTCCCCTTGATCTTTTACCCAGTGGGTTCCAATCTAACACTTTTCTTAAAACCTTGCTAAAACTAAACTAAAGCCCATACAATTTCCATCTCCTCAGGTATTCGTCAGTTTACATCATGTGTCAACTCAAACCATCAGACGGGTCACCTGTCGCGGTATCCCTGGCGAGGACGGAGTGTGAGGTGGCCAACAACTCACTGCTCGTGCACGGACGTGTAGGGGTCATGACCCCTGTCCGCTACACCTTCACCGTGTGCGTGAAGCCTTTCGCCTACGCCTACGACAACGTCCATCAGCTGGTGGAGTTCCTGGAGCTCAGTCGTCTCCTGGGAGCGAAACGATTTGTCTTCTACAACTACAGGTGACGGCAGTAACTACGACAACAGTAACAACAGTAACAGTAACAACAATAACAATAACAGCAATAATAAAAATAAAAATAATAATAATTATTATTATTATTTT